TTCATTGCCTTCATTGGGGCCATGGTGACTTGAAGAATGTGGGCACGGCAGGAGAAGGCACGAGTGAGTTCTGGCTCGAACCAGAAAAAGACGCGGAGTGAATGACTGTCTGTACTGCCATGAACACACCAAAACATGACATGCCCAGCGCAGTTTTCTTTCATGCCAAATGATCGACTACTTTGGGCCTCCCACCCATGCCGTGTATAGATCCTAACCACTTCTGGAGTTCCCCGCTCTGGGAGGAAAAAAAGAAACCGAACGACCGACGTCTCTCCCGCCACGCACCCGAAACCCCCCCGACGTCTCTCCCGCGTTCGAAAAACGGGTCCCCGGAGGGCGCGGACGCCGGGGCCGAACATGCTCGGTCCGGACCTTGGACGCCGAGAGCTGCGAGATGCAGTGTTGGAACATCTCCCGCTTGTCCTCACCCGGAGCTGCCACTCGGCGTCCGGGGGACGAAGGTTTCCCGGAAGGTCCCCGCCGTCGCACGACTCGGTGGTGGGTCGGTTCCGCGAGGCCGAAGGGGCGGTGACGACCGGAGTGTCCGGACGGCGAGAAGGAGGACGCGAGAAGCGAGGTCCGGTTAGAGGGTCATCTCACGACCGGTCAACCTCCTGGAACCACCGCCCTTCACCGTGACCATTGAGAAACCGGCCGCCCGTGCACCGAGGCGTCCAAGAGAAGGCGCCGCCTTCCACCGAGACTTCGGCCGACGGCGTCGGCGTGCTTTTGGGTCGGTCCTTGTCGGGACCTTCGCTGGGGAAGTATTCCTCAAAGGCCTCCTCCACCGTCTCCTGGGACGCGAAAGATCACGCTGCGGCAGCAACGCCTTCCAGAAGGCGTCGGGACGACATGGCGACAAAAACGGTTTGGAGAAACCTCCCAAGAACTTGGGTCACACCTATAAGAGAACAGAACGGCAGGCCCTGGAAGTGTACTTTGTCATCAATTTTCAGTGATCTGGAGGTGCATTTTGGAATCTTTTTCAAGGATCTACTCACATGAATTGCCAAGGACATCTCAACTGCTGTCCTCTGACAAAATGCAGAGTACCCAAAAAAACAATAAAACATTTTAAAAAAAACAAAAAACAATAAAACAAAAAAAAAAAAAAAAAACAATCCTGACAAACTCTTTGGACACCCCCCACCCCCAGTCCAAGACCTCCCAGGAATTGTGTGTTTTGTTTTTTTGATTTTTTTTTGATTTGGGGGGGTGTCCAAGACCTCCCCTAGAAGACTCTTTGGTGAGAAAACAAAAAAAAAAAAAAAAACAATCCTGACAGAGTCTTTGGACACCCTCCCCAGCCCAAGCAATTGTCTTTTTTGTTGTGTTTGGTTTTTTTGGTTTACTCACCAAAGAGTCTTCTAGGATTGTTTTTTTTGGACACCCACCCCAAGACAAGACTTCTGAAGAATTGGTTATTTTTGTGTCTTTATTTTGTGGTTTGGCATCTCTAACTGTTTCATCACATTCATCAAAACAATTCTCACAAATAGAGCACCTTGTAGCATTTCTGAATTTCTAGTTCTTCTTCTTCACTAATAACCATGGGCTTATTAACATTCATTTTTTTCAATTATATCAGATTTGGTATTACCCAATTGTTCTACAGATTTATCCATACAATTCTCACCCCTATACAAATAAGGTGTGGATGGTGTGTCAATTCTATTCACCACATTCAACATATAACCGCAAGGTTTATGCTCTTGATATGTGCCCTTAATCCCATCAGAAGAAGTCACAGTCAGACATTCAAAATCTTCATAAATAACAAAAGGCCATTCTAATTTAGTATTGTACTGTTCAAATTCAACAAAAGAACCTTCAGGGGGGTAGTTTGAATTGTTGCCCTGCAATTGCTAAACAACAACTTTAATATGTTCTTCCAAGCCCTCTTTTCTACAAAAGGGATGAGAACAATACCTGCAGATATGTGTTTTATTGTTATCTTTATTCAATTGACAATTTAATAACCTACTCAAACTTCTTATTAAAGCATAATGGTATCTATCTTTAGCATCAAAATTATCAATAAGTCAATATGATATTTAGCAATTTAAAACGTTGGTTGCTCTTGTTTTGATTATTTTGTCTTCATTAATATCATCTGTTTCGAAAACATTTACTGAAACTGCACCATCATTATTCACTTCAAGCCTGTCAATATCTCTATTACCTGCTGGAAAATTGACACCTTCCCAATTGATGATGTCATCCTTCAACTTGTTATAATGAAACATGTCTTCTGGGTGATGCTTATTAAGTTTATCAAAAACTACTGATTGAATAATACAATATTTTAAACATTGGTTATAGTTATGGTTTATATTGATACAAGCCCTTTTTTGACTCAACAAAAAAAGGTAACTCTATATATTTGCCTGCCCTAGTTGGATTATATCTATTATAATGGATGGTAGTAGAAACTACCTTTTAAAATTTTAGATTTGACCTTGAAGCCTCAATCTGTTCTATTTGAAGTAGTATTTCTTTTAATCTTCTAAAGCTTTATTCAAGTCATCTTCATTGTGAATGTTGAATCCTGTGGATGGTAAGTTATGAAGAATCTCAGACTCACCTATATCACCATCAAAATCTTCACCATCATTAACACTTGAGAGAGGAGGGGGTGAACGAAAGGTAGCAGGCAATCACAAGTAAACGTGGTAGAAGTCCACGACGGCGTGAACCGGCGCAGGGGGGATTTGATCCGGGGGGGGGGGGGGCCCCCCGACGAACAGAATCAACTCTTACAGGACCAAATTCAATGCACAATCCCAACTCCTGATTGTAATACATTTTTGCTAAAGCAAGGAGAACTCAGGTAGCTCAAGCTACCTTTCGTGATTAGGCTTACTAAATAATGCGTCCGGTCTTATGTTGAGCTTCATATTATGTTTTTTAAATAAATTCTACAAGTAATGATTTTTGATGTTGTATTGATAAGCCTTGTTCTCCTTTAAAGTGCTTGTTTATGAGCTTAAGATAATTGGCATATCCTTTAAAAGCTGATGTACATGTTTTCTAAATCTACTCTGAACCTATTTTTGATAGCATATTTGGTTAGGGCTTTCTTCATGCCCCAATGAAATTATCTTATGGTCGTACCTTCTATATCCATTAGGTTTCTTCACTGATTCCAATTTCTTTTTCAATCTTTTTGAGATATCTTTGTTTTTGTTATCTCTGAATGTTTGATTGTCAATAACTATTGACTTTAGTTCTTTGTTACCCTTTTGATGTATTTCTGCTTTATCAATTTTAAGCAACTAAAATGTGTTTTTTAATAATATACTACTATATATTTTATACATTAACTACTCTTTAAGTAAAGGTTCAATGATTTTTTACTTAAATATGCATATATATCTATATATATTAATGTGTAATAATATGTGGTTTTATGAATTCTTGGGATAGCTATTTTAAGAACTATTGATATTAATATTCAATGAGTATACAGTACTTGGGGAAATACTTGTTAAGCCAAAACTAGCAAATGAAGGCAGACATGTCAAATAACTTAGTAGAGCTCAAAAATTGGTGAAAAAGTGCACTTCCACAGCCTGCCGGACTCTAAGAGAATGGGTGCTTTTGGAATGGGTCACTACCGAGATCTGGGGCTGATCTATTTCCCCCATCTCAAGCTTCGCTTGCATCTTCGTCTCATCTTCGTCTCAAAGGAGGGTGAAGTGGGTCCTTTAGCACAGAACGCTGACAGTCGAAGCACGGCTCGTCCTTGAGGCGGTCGAGGTTTTCCAAACATTGCTGAAGATTGTTCCTCAGAACGTGTGGCGCATGAGGCATCTCATCGAAGAACGCGCCTCACGCAAGAGTTTCAAGATGCTTTAGGTGGACTCTCAACTCAAGAAGTATAATGTCAATGAGTTGCCTCAAACTTTGCCCGCCACGCGATGGATCTTTCATGGCAACAGCTGTCAACCAAAACCCTCCATTGGCTTTGATCTGTCAAGGAAGGTCGAGTCAACTCACCGTGAAGAACAGCTAACGAATTTAACAAAGGGATAAACAGCCGGAGTGAAATATAAATCAAAAGCGGACCAGGGTAGACTCAAACCACCAAATCCATGTGCTGGCTTGCCAGAGAGGCAAAGCAAGACGACGCCTCCTCCAGTGGGCAGCTGGTCCAATTAAGAATTATTTATGTAGACATATATAGACCTTCTTTAACCGCAAGAAACGCCTGAAGACCAAACACTCAAAAGCAGCTCGTAAACGATAACCTCTGCTTGGAAAGCCTCCTCCCACGCGTCGACCGACTTTTCTGGAGCTGGGTAGCATGGAGTGAGGCCAGCTGAGCGCCGCCGTCAGGGGCGACCGCAACTTGCCATCCTCGAAAACCCCGTGGGTGGCATGTGCGTTGGAGCGCTTGGGGAGGAGGGATCGAAAAAGACATGGCCCATGGCAGTTTGGAGTTGTGGCTACCGGAAGCACACTCAATCTCAGACCGTCCAAAAGGAACGGCTTCCAAAACTGGGTCCATTGTCCCACTCCGCGCAATACGCTGCACCAAATGGAGGGAACTCAGACCGTCCCTCAGAGGAGAGGGAAAAGAAGAACATAGAAGAACTGTCGAAAACCTCACTACTCTGGCCTTTTTCCCGCTTTGAGACATCCAACCAAGTCGTTCAACGTATCGGTCTCCAAGGCCCCCCCGCCTGTTCCAAGAAGAGGGAAGCCAAAGGGTGCTCACCGGCCTTGGGTGCGGCCTGAGCTGCGTGCCCAAAGGGGCTAGGGAGGCTAAGGCCGATTGAGTCTCTCATGCCGATCTTGCCGGTGCAAAAAAGAGAGAGAGAGAGAGAGCTAGCTTGGAGGGTTCACGGCCATTCCAGGCCAACCAAAAGCAGAAAATGAGATGCGGCGGCAGACACCTGCGTTCAACATGAGAGTTTCAGAGGGCCTGCAGACCAATCATGATGTTGGACCAATCGAACAAAAGTGACTGACTCTGCAGTACAAACCTGACTCTTCCAAACAGAACTGTCCATCGGAGAAAATGCAAAGACAACGTCGGGATGGAACCAACAACTCCGCCCAACCCCCCCCCCCCCCATCCCCTCACGCCACGTGAGCATGGCACGTCTTCCATTTCGATGTTGTGCAGCTGAGGCCTGGACCAAGTTCTTGGGATGCGTCAACCAGCTGGAGTAGACTCGCCGGCTCTCCGCCAGGTTGCTCGCCAGCGCCTCGGCGCGTCGTCACCCGCACTCGGTTGGACGGCCGATTCGTCCATTGAGAGGAGGCGGGTTCGATCTTCTTTTCGGATCTGGTCGTAGGCGGGTCCTTGCCCAATCGGAACGCCCAAGTACGACGCCTCCTGCCTCCCGCCGGTCGCGGAAGAAACGTCGGGCGGGGTGGGTTCTGGTGGTGGTTCCACCCTTGGCCGAAACATCGTGTCAGAGGGCCACGCGGCCACCTCTCGCAAGCATGAAGATGGCATGATGGCACGCACACTGCACGCACATTACAATGGGAACGGAACATCACGACCCAAAAAGAGTTCACGTGCAAACCGGGCAAACCGAGAAGGAAGAAGGAGCGCTTAATACAGCTCTTTCTTTTTTTTCCAGTGCTTGAAAGCGTGCTGATGACATACTACACACCCCAAAAAGCCATCCCCCACAACACACGCCTCGACTTCACCTCATCTTCACGCCTTCATCACCGCTCGTCCTCACCAACCGCCCCGTCACGTCCCGGTCTCCGGACCTGTCGCAGTTCTCCCCCCACGGCCGCGTTCACGTTGTTCACCACCTTGGCGCCGCGCTTCCGCACCGGCGGTGGGCAGCACTGGAGCACCAGTGGAGCACCGGTGGAGCACTGGAGCTCGCTGTCCATCTGCTGTCCATCTTAAAACCGGCCTTTGGCCCGAGACCAAGACTCAAAGAAACTTTCTAACAAACAAACAACACGGTGTCACGGTGTCGCCCATCCACCTGTTCATCCACCTGTCTGTCATCCACTTCATCCACCCACTTTCAAGCAAAGCACGGCACACACCGCGTTGATCTCACCTCAGGAAGGGGGGCAAAGCGGAGCAGCCAAGGAGTCGGAGCTTGGAGGAGCAGCCCGAGCGGGCAGGTATTGGAGTGTTGGTAGGGAGTAGCAAATTGATTCCTTTCTTTTCGAAATCCCAGGCAGTGGTTTTAGACATCCAGGGGGGCGCCCAGGGTTGTTGCTGGGGGGTTCCACTCCTGGAACTTCGCCGCCCAAATCCCATGACCAACCTTTCTGCGGGTTGGTTGCTTTTGCCTGGTTGGTTGCTTCGGTTGGATCCGAGTGTTGGAATCCCATGGCGTGCGTGCGTTTGGCTCCTCCCATGCGTCCCAACCGGAAGAGGATTTTCTTCAAACGTGTTCGTCGAACGGGGCTCGTTTATCTCGGAAGATCCGCCACAGAAGCATCAAAGTAGATGGGTCTTTCTTTCTGAAGAATATGGCCCCCAAATGGCTAGAAAAGCCTGGCAGCTTGGCAGGCTGGTTAGACCCAGAACTCACCCATGTGGCTCCTTGGCTTCCCAGAAGACGGGGAATACGGAGATGAACAGCTTAATCCTATAAAATAGATCCATTCGTTGGAACAGCGCACCTCTTCCCCGTCCTTGCCAATAACAGTGCCCGCTGGCCACCACATGGCCCTTTCTCCACCGGCAGGGTGGCTGAGGGCGGCTGTGGGCCCCCACAAGTGGTGACAGCTCTCATCATGGACTCTTGCCTGCACTCATCAGGGACTTTCCGCCATTTTCGTCTGCATGGAGAAGGAGAAACTCTGCACGGTCGTCTTGCGGACGGGTTTCAAACAAGATTGAGTCTACTTACAGGGCTCTGCGGATTGCAAACTGACTGATGAAAGCTGGTCGGTGAAACTGGTATGCTGGTCAGGGAACCTGAGAACTCAAAAAGAGTGCAAATATCTGGAAATGGTCTACCTGGTGCACATGTCATCAGAGAAAGAAAGTCAGTCAAGAAAAAAAAGCTAAGGCGTTGTTCACTAGCCCTTGGAATTACCAAAGGCGTAGCTCTTCCTCTGGACAGAACTCATTCAGTGAACTAAGATGAACTGAGACGAACTATATTACTTCAATGAGTGGGACCTCTCCGACCTGCGCATGACGCCAAAAACCGGACTGCCCAAGCAGACTGAGCGCTTCACATGATGAAGAAGGCTTCGTCGATCATGGTGGTCGTCAGAACATCCGGATCGTGCGGGTCCAGACCTCGGCGGGTCTCGGGCGGCGCCGCAGCGCGCGCCGCGGCCATTGGTCCGAAACAACGCGACGCGAACGACGAAGCCCACGAGATCTGAGGAGATGAAACAATCAAGCATTGGCCAGTCAGACGTGCCTTTTCCTGCGCGCTCTTTTTGTGCGGCGTGAACAGAGCGATCTTGACTGAAACTCTTGCACCGATCCCGACGTTGTTTCTCCACTTTGGTTCGTGATGAAACGTTGATGGACAGGCTTCCCCGCAATCCGTCTCCGTGACCGCCTTTTCGACGGACATCAAGAGGAAGTTCTGTTCGACCTTAGATGGTCCAAAGCAGACAGAGTGATTCGATGGTCCGCGGCCGCGGCCGCGGCCGCTCCGAGCCCTAGAGGGCTTTGGTACGTTTGGTAGAGGAGAAAAGAAAATGAAAAGGATCCTGCATCCAAGCCAAAGAGTGCCGAGCACTGTGAGATACTTACGAACCCCCAAACCAGACCCCACCAGACCGAAGGTTGACATCCGGCAGTTGGTCTTCCTTCACTTCACTGCTCTCAGCTCTGAAACAGGCACCCCCACGAGCACATAAGCCGAGACCAGCTCTTGCACCCTGTCACTGGTCAAGGGACCATGGCTTGGCACTCAGCTGTGCTGCTCACAAATCCCAAGCACTGGTCACCTGATGTCACCTGAACCACCTCAACCTGAATGTCAACCTGCCGATTTTTCTTGGGGGGGAGGGGTGGTTACCACAGTGTTCCTAGCCTCCATCAACAGCCATTCACTCTTCCTCCTCTCGATCTCTCTCAACTTCGCAACAGGAGACCCCGCGGGCTACCGGGCCCGACGACTCACCACGCCCCCACCGCGACGCCCGGCTCTCTCCGCCTGTGCAAGAGCTTGGTGTCCGCAGGCAGTCCATCCTCCGCCCTGTGGCCGCGAGGCCTGGGGCGGGGGAGAAGGGACCCCGCGCGCTTCCCCGGGGCGCGTTGGGGGCGGGGGGGAAGGCTCTAAGCCGGGGCGGCGCAGCTGATGAAACGGCGCAAAACACGCATGATTTTGGGGGTGAAGAAGATTGGAAAGAAGCTTCACCTGGTAGGGTTGATGGTTTTTGGGGGAGTTGGTGATCCGTCGGTGTGGGCTGATTGCATGATGGGAAGTGCCCCGCACTCCACCTCGAAATGATCCAACTGAACTGAAGAAAAATTGCAGTCCGTGCTTCATCACTCAAATAGAAATATGTGGAACCCTAAGGATCCTGGGACCCTCCTTAGAAGGGGTCGCACCCTCTAGTTCACAAGGCTTTGGGACCCCGAACCCAAACCCTTGTTTGGTGTCGGGTGCGGATTCGATCCGGGAAGTTGAATCCATGGCCCCCCTCCACCAGGAAGGACCAGTTCTCCACCCCCACCGTGGACGTGGGTTCCTCCCTCCACTTCCAGGGCGGACCCGAAGAATGCTGACCGCCGAAGCGCAGAGTCTTCACGAAGGCCGAGGGGTCTTCGATCATGTCCACCACGTCCTTCCTGAAGGCGAGGGCGAGGGCGAATATAGCCAGAGGGCTCGGTCGATCGGATCCACAGAGGAGACCCCCAGGTGCTTTGGGACCAGAAACAACCAGCATCATCCAGTTTGGGTGGTTATTGGAATTTATTGGATGTGAAATACATCTTCAGGGTGGTTTATACACCACCCTTTGGGTGCTGGAAAATAATCCTACAAAGGTGGGACACTGACGTGGAGCAGACCTCACGTCGTCATGCGTTGTCCACCTCTTGTCGGTAGAGAAGATGGCCTCCACTTCACTGGAGAAGAGCTAGGGAAGCGATCTCAAGAGGTCACCGCCCGGTCGCCGTTTGAGAAAGAATGTATGAAGACGCGATCTGTCAAGGTGTGCTCTTCGTATCTCAAACAAGGAGCACTTAAAGCCTGGACTAAGCCGGGCTCCTTGGATTTCACATCTCACATCCCCCCCGAACAAAGCTAGCACACAGCACACACCAGCACACACCTGACTTTTTTGGCAACCACAGATAGCACATGGGCTCCTTATGTTGAATGAGTCCCTACATGTCCCTACACACGTCGCTTTCAAGAGTCCGGATCCGCTCCTCTCCCTGCTCCGCCACACGATCTGCTCCTTCCTCGCGCGCTCGGTCGGTCTTGGGCACCCGGACGCCACACCGTGGATGTAGGCGTTGAATTGCCTCGGTCGCGAGGTCGCACCGCACGCGACTCGCACGGCGCGTAAGCCGATCGCTACCTCTTGGGGTCATAGACGCTTCCTGCGGATGCCTTAGACCAACACCCTCCAAAAGGTGTCAATAAATAGCAGCTTAGAGGTTAAGGGCTGTCCAAAAACCACTCCTGGTAGTGCAGCGATTGTCCATCATTCGCACAGGTCTTCATTGGGTCAAACATGGTCCGACCCGCACCAAATTATGAACCCGCGCTCTCGCTCGCACCGGCACCCGCGCAACACCCCAAACCCGCGCTCCCGCGCACCACCCCGCGCACCGCCCCGCGCACCGCACAGCTCCGCTCGCACTTCGCACTGGAAGCTCTGCCCCCCAACTGCACCCGCTGGGTGATCATCGCCGTCTCCTCCAGCATGGCGCCCACCTCGCGGGTGTCCACCCCCTGGGTGACGGCGAAGACCTGAGAGGCTCGGGTCTCGGGAGGGTCCCGGAGGATCTCGGGAGGGTCCCGGTGCGGTCGATCCCACCCCAAACAAGACCCAAGCGAGCGCGATGAAGAAGGTGGATGAGGGACTCATAAGAGGATGGAAGTCAGAAAGGAACGCCAAGCATGGAGAACCATGATGGAGGCTTCTATTGCCTCGGCATGGTCAAAAAATCGGGTCCAAACTGGTTGCGGATTCGGGTATTGACAGAACATCACACCTGGCACCAAGCACGCCGCGTTTGCCACAACCCATTGGCCGCCCTTCGCGCCTTGCTGTTGTCCTTGGTGAACTTGTCGATCACCCGGATACCCTGCACATCTGCCTGGCCCGCATCGCAGCCGCATGAGGCAGCGTGCTTTTTTGGTGGCAAGCAGTTTGTTCAACGATGTGAGCAACGGTGATTTCTGGATCGCACAGCCCAACGGCTTTACTAAAAAAAGCGCCTAAGACAAGACCAGATACGATGCAAGTGCCCAAGCCCCACTCCTTCTCCCCGGCCTCCTCTAAAAGCCCACGCACCACGACCACAAAGTTGTCTGGACCGAATTCCTCCTCCACCGCTTGCTGGTGCTCCTGCGCCAAAGAAAGCACCAAGAGGAGCACATTGAAGGCCCACTTCCGCCACCCAAGCCCTCCCAAAACTCATCGGATTCGGCCCCCTAACATCCAACCGCCTCATCCCAACCAACCCCCGCCCCCCCCCACCACCTCCTAACGCAGCCACGGCCTCCCCACGCCGGGGCTCGTCTCGTCTCGTCTCCGCCTGGACGATGTCGGCGATGGCCATGAAGACCGAGGTCAAGGTCTCGGCGTAGGGCGTCGGGCTCTGGTCCTGGCCGTCACCGCACCCGCCGTCGAGTTTGTTTGGGAGAGCGGTGCGGGACGTGCTCGGTCGAACCGGGGAGGGCGGGGGGGTCGCGAGCGTGACGAAACGACCGGGGTTGGGATGATGGAGGACTTGCACCTATAGACTCTAGCCAGTTCTTTTGGAAGAGGCGCCCAAATCATCCCAACATCTGCGGAGAGCCTCCTTGACGGTTCCTTGATCTCAGTTTCAAACTGAGGGAGATACCCAACCATCAATGCACGCCAAATCCATGGCCTTATAAGATCTTGTAAGACTCTTGATCCGTCTTGATCCACTTCTTCAGACGAACCTTCTTGCTTTCTTCAGCACCCGCCTCTTCCACCGACACCCATCCAAGAACCCGGACTCAGTCGACTTCGACTGAAGCTCAGTCAGACCGCACCAGGAGTCAGTCGACTGGGCAAACCAAGGCGGAGCCCATCTGGGAACACCCCCAGATGTACGGCCGGTAAGCCGCGCCAGCTGGACGGCACGCTTCACGGAACCCAACCTGAAGCGCTGAACCGCGGAACCGCGTCCGAAAGGGGTTGGGGAAGTAGGGGGAAGTAGGGGGGGTTCGGTGAGGACGGCTCCGGGATGCTCCGGGTCGGGTGAGGGAGGTGAAGATCTGCTGGCCAAGTCCAGGTTTGGGGTTTGTGCCGTTTTTTTGTGACATCTCATCTTCCTGGACGACTGGACGACTGGACAGCTTGGTCGCTTCCGTTGGTCGCTCATTCACCCACTTTCACCACACATCCCATCACTGAGCTGAACCCGCTGGAAGCACAGTGATCGACGGCGGTTCGCCCCCCCGGAACTCTCATCTCTGCGCTTCGCATGGCTTCGCCGCGTGAAAAAGAGGAGACCGAAAACGAATCCATCTGGGGCTCCAAAGGTGTCCAAAATGCCTCACCCGCGCAGGCGCAGGTTCTCCGAACCCCGGGTCGAGCGACGACTCGGGGCCGACGTCCGGAGAGCCGGGTGCCCCGGCTGACGCTTGAACTCCACGCTGGCTTTCTCGGCGAGGGAGCGCTGAATGAACCTCGGAGGCGGAGCCGGGAAGGCCAGCAAAAGGCGCTTGGACTCTGAAGGTTTCGATTTCTCCATGTTGACACCTGGTAGAAGTTCCTCTTCACCGCGTCACCGGCTGTCGGACATGCTTTCGGTCCCAGAGTTCCGAGGCGCCACAGGACCTGTGTCCACACGTGGTCCAAACTCTCGAATCCAAAACGTGGGTCACGTCACGTGTTCGCGAAAGCGAAAGCGAACCGAGAGATGCCACCGTGGTACCTATCCGGTATTCTATAGGTCTATGGTTTTTGTCTTTGTCCGTAGAGGAAAATCGCTTCCCCAGAAATTCCTTATCCACATTTCATAGTGAGGCGGAGGGTACATGGATATACATGGATGTACATCGGATCCCCCTGTCATAGATAGAAAAAGCAATGAAAAGTAGAACCCCACTGCCCACATGGATGTACATGGGATCCCCCTGTCATAGCAAAATGTAATCAAAAAGTAAATCCCCACTGCCCTAGGTCTTTGGACACCGTGCCACGGACCACGGACCATACTCTTTTTGGGGACCACTCTTTTGGGGACGCGAGGTATCGGCCACGACAAGGTCTCTTGGTGTCCACGGCTCCACGTATTTCTGCACGCCCTCGCTGGCCAGACCTTCGGTCGGACCGGGACACCGTGGCGGTTGGACCAGACCGAACCACAAAGGGTACCCACATGTACCCAAGGAGCCCAGGTAGGCGTGGTGGTTGGCAGAGGCTTGGTGGTTGGTCATCGTAGTGACTTTAAACAAGAAGTGTCAAACCTTTCCGAACTAAAACCATCAAAAAAGAAACAGCTGGAACATGAATGAAAACATGACTTCTGAGTGTTCGGACTCGCGCGCCTTCGCATCGCGTGGTTCGCTTCGCGTGGCTTCGCAGATGCCCGCACCTCGCCGGACCTCGCTGGATCTCCTTCAACCCCCGGACCTCTTCACCTCCTCCGGCCCTTCGCCCTTCGCCACGGACCGGCCTAGGGGGTGGAACAGCTTCGCGAAGCGCGAGACGCCGGCGGAGTCTTTGGCCGCCATCGCCGCCTCGAAGTGCCTCCGGAGTCGTACAAAGCGGTGCGAGACGTCTCGCACGACCCACCCGGGGCAGGGGGAGGGGGTGCCGGCATGCGACGGGACCGGCAGAAGAGAACCAGTGTCTTGAAGCTTTGGATGCCTGGGCCTCCATCCAATGCCTCGAAGCGATCACCTCCGTGGGAGCGGCACCAGCCGGCCAACGACGCGGCTTTGCGCGCCTGCGCACGATGGCACTCAGCTGCCGCTCGGCCTCGCTCCTCAGGTGAAGAAAAGAGAGGAATAACAATGGATTCTTCCAGGAAGAGAAGTGCTGGTTCTTCTCTCGAAGTCACACTGTGGTCACTCCAATGGTGGTAGCAGTAAAAGACTCCTTACATCTCTCTACTTCCCAGATCCTTACATCTCTCTTGGCCCCAAGAAAAAGACCCTTCAGAGCTAAGCTCCGCTGTCCTACGCGCCGCCCACCCCCCGCGCGGTGGTCTTCCGGCGACCGGGGCACCCCACAACGTCCGCACCGTGGCGTCGTCGGTCCCGGGCCTCGGTGCCACCGAAACGGGGCCGCTCCGCCTCCCAGAGCCCAACTCTCCCAGATCGGCAGGGACCTGGGCCTCCAAAGGCCGCAGGGCCTTTGTCGGGCCCAGAGACCCTGGAGACGCTTTCGCGGTTTCCGCGCGGAAAGGGACCGCTCCTTTCGGCCGCCCAAGGCACGGAAGGCTGTCTTGGGCTGCACGGAAGCGCGCCACCTGGGATGCAAACGGATGCTGCTTTCCCGGGATCCAAGAAAGAAGTTGACAGCCCAACCCAGCCCAACAATAGATGCAGCGAAACAATCTCACAACCTTGTTTACAATCATTCAAAAACTCTTGAGTTGAAGCACGACACTTGTTCTCCA